AGTAGATTCTGTCGGATACGTTCGATGGAAAGTGCTCAGACGGGTCGAAATCATCGAATATGATGATTTTGATGAGTTTTGGACAGATTGGAGCGGTAAAAGGTAGTGGGTCGATTTCAAGTCTTATACGGATTGGACCTTATTAGTACAATACGTGGAAAGATTGTGTATAATATTAAAAAATGTGATATTATGTTTATATATAATAATGATAAACATAAAGTGATAAATGATAAAATACACATTATTGTACAAGTCACTTAGGAATCGAATCCATTAGTCAACGAAAGTGTAGGGTCGCAGGTGGTGCGGTACGTAGAAGTGAACCACTCATAACATGTGAATATTCGTATTACCCGACACTTTATTGCAAGTAAGTCGTTTTGTTTTCAATCTTGTGTCCTTTTTAGTCTTGAACGTGCGGCTTAAGGTTTCTTCCGACTCTAAGATTATTTGGTTTTATTCGAATCTTTTCCTCCAGTGATGAACTATTTTGTAAGGGTCAAAACTATCTATGTGTCTCAGCAAATGTCTGCAGTGCAAGTAATTGATTGGTTCTACACTACTGAAAATGACAGTAAAGTTGACACGGACTCTGAAGTTCAAAAAACAACAAATATCATTTCAAAAAGAAAAGATCCAGAATTTCTACCTAAAACGTTTACCTCCATTTTCACTGAAAGTAAGATTTAAAACGTAACAAGTACTTTTTCTTTTTTCGCACTTTGTCAATTTGCAAATGTTTGGGTTTTAAATTGATGAAAAATGATTTACAGTAGCATCATAGATTCCTTAAAAAACGATGTATTGACGTCTCGCCTACATTGCTGCTCTTGAGCTATGTATTTTCTTTTTCTCTGATTTTAGGTTTTATTTAGGATCAAATTCGATTTTAACTCCTGAAAAATATGTCGTTTATTAAATGGAACAAAAAAATAAAAGAGAGAAATAACTGAAGAAAGAAACTCCTCACTTTTGACGTTATCGAGAACAAAACAAATGATTGCCTTAATACTTTTATTATTGGACACTAAAAGAAATCATCATTATTACCATCTGACTGGATGATTGTAACGTAGACTAAAATATCTTCCTTTGTCTGATTTGAACGTGGGACTATGCAAGTAAAATATAAATTGTTCATTGATCCATAAAGCCTGATTCATATAGTTTTTGGACGAGTGATGCTAAACCTTGTGTAACAGCTTCTTGTGCAAATAGTGGAATTTCTTCTAAACGTCCATCGTGTATCATTACCATAACATTTTGAAAGTGATTAAGATCATTCATTGACATGCCAGTTTTTTCAGCAAAATTTTGTATCGTTTTTGCAACTAAAAATAAACGAGATAGAAAAAATTTATTATGAAAATATAGTACAGAGTATAAGATTGAGACTATAAATATTTATATTTTCTCATACTAGAACGATTTTTAAATAAATCCTAACGATAACCGTAGGAGAATTATGTTTTCTACAATGAAACAAATACTAACGATAAATGAAAAAATGATATTTTGTACATTTTTATTGAAGAATGATGGAGAAATACTTCTCATTTTACTAATTATGCTGGCTAAACATTTTTAGATGATGTCAGTATATTGTTTAACAACAACGAATATTGAAATGAAATAACAGAATTTATAGTTTCGATTTATTGTTGTCACAAATGAATATTAATTGATTACCTGAAAATGCTGATGCCAGTGTATCAAACCAGAATGATTTATTTTCTTCAATACTTTGACTTAATTTGTGACCAAATAAAAATGTAAATAATTGTGTACCATGAAGAGCATATTCGGCTTGTAAAAATTTTTCAATATTTTCTTTGGCGGGACGTTTTGCTGAAAAAATAAAAAAATTAAGATTTATTTAAAATTTCACATTTATATAATTATGTTCTACTACCTGCTATACATGTTTCTTCATTTTCGTCAAGATTACCCGGACAATCACCTGGATGACCATCACAAATGAATTGTAATGCAATACATTTCTCACTTTGTGGACATTGAAATGGTTCACTTGGATCGATGCATCCTAATAAATATAAAAGTTAGTATGAGTTCTATATAAAAAATAATATTTATTTTACCTTTAAATTGATGTTGTGGATGTAAAAGATGTAATGGTGATAGATCGTGAGCTGGTTTATTAAGTTTATTTTGTAACCATTTTTTAAATACATGAATTTTTGAATGATCTGGTTCGGAAAACCAGGCATGATGATTATCATTCATTCTACTATCGGTATATATACATATAAAATAAGATATTAGTCCAATAAGAGTTGTAAGAAATTTCATATTTATAATAATGAATGTTATAATTATAATACTCAACTAAATTAGAAATAAACAAACATTCTCAATTATATACAACATAATCACAGTAACAGTAAAGACTATTTAATGCAAAATATTCAAGAAAATTAGACGAAAAACATGTTACCACCATTTTAGATGATATTTTGTTTTCTCGTATAAAGGTAATGAAATCTGTAGTATATAGTTATTTACTATCACAAGACTTATTCTCTGAACAACAACTTTTCTTTTAAAAGTGTTGTAAATAAATTTTATATCAACATATTTTCAAAGTTACGTTATTTTAGAAAATTTTTATTATTTAACAAAGTAAAAACTTCATTGTTTTCTTCTTTTTTTTTTTGTTTAGAAGAGAATATATGAGCACAAATTATAAAAAATATTATTTTTATTAGATTCTATTGAAAATCTTTGTTATTATTAGGGTTCAAATAAAATCCTGTTCTTTTTTCTGGATTATAACATCTGATATATATATTTTTGATGAAAAGAAAAAGAAAATAGATTAATAGAAATGCTGAGATATTTTAATTAATTTATGAAAGATTGATAGCACCTCTGTGACCATTAATTTTTCAATTTTTCTCTCATACTACTACTATAATCACTATGAATTGTTCGGTTTAGTTTATTTGATCGATTTAAAAAAAAATCAGTTTTCTTAATAGAAAACCTATATAATAGAATCTAAGATAATCTCTTCGTCTATGCTGACCATCTGTTCAATCGTATTTTATTTTAGAAATAGTGACCAAATAAATGTGTTTTATTAATCATAAGAAGTAATAAATATTAAATTAGTACAGCTGATTGAAATTTATTATTTTCCCTTATGAAGAGAAATAAATTGATTCGTGCGTAAAAACAATAATTAACAAAATCTTTACACATGCAACACAATTAGAAAACATAGCGGACGAAATTCGATATTAAAATGGTCGCATTCATTTCGTTGTCATTTAGATACCAAATAATTCTTAAAAAAGAAAAAACATTCTACAATATAACAACATAACACAATGGTATATTATTAAAGCAGGATTAACATAGCTAATCGCGTATAAGTCATCATCTTATCGAATAATAACAAATAAACAACAGGAATAAATTTACACATAGAAAAAAGAATCTGAATCTAGATGTTAATAGAGAACCAGCTTTAAACATGACTTTATCCGATGCCTCATGATTTTTCATTTAAGTATTTCACTCGAAAGTTGAACATACCATCATTCTTTCTTTTATTTCAAAATGTTTTGTTCAAAATTGAGGTCCAACATTAATTTTAACCTTTCTGAGCCTTCTGAAAAAACCATGGAATTTTAAAATAAATTTCTCCAAAAATTACTAAATCAATTTGTTTTTCCATGCAAATATCTAAAGCAGGAAGATCGAAACAAAAAAAAATGGGTCTATTGCCACTTACAGAAGTGTCAATAAGGAGCTATTGCCACTTTCTAGCCAAAGCGAGTTTGAGAAACTTATTGATACTTTCTGCTCCACTTTAGGTAAGAGAGGGTGATTACAATACATGGGCATTTCGGAAAAGAGTGGGTGTAAGATAATATAATATAAGATAAGATAAGCTAAGGTGAAGTAGAGAAGTGAAATTAAGAATGCTAAGCCAAGGAATTTCGTCCGCTCTAAGAAACACGATAAACGGCTGCTCCGCCTAACTGCGAAAACGAGACGAATGTGTTTCTTTTCTCACTCACTCTCACAACCCACCTTCCCCACCTCCAAAAGGCTTGAAAATAGCTTGCGTGTTAATGTCGTGTGCTCGTTGAAGTAGGTATACTATGTAAGTCTTGGAATGAACTCCTTAACAAGAAAGTACTTAGCATTACTTCAGCTACCCGTTGATTCACTTGACTGCCTTAATCTATCTTATCTTATCATGTCGTACTGTACTTTACCTTACCACACCTTATCTTATCTTACGAGGGAACCGATTTAACTGTCAAATCGTTTTTTCAATGAGACCTAGTGGGTTATAGGTTATCGATTATGTTGATTCTGAATATGACCATGGCAGTCGCCTATAGATCTCCAGAGATCCAGTTTCTGGAAAACCAGTTTTTCACAAACTCTAAAAATAATCAAAATCTTTCTTAATGAGGCATGATTATAGCCCGCACATTTCTGATTAAAATGAGATATCTC